GATGCCTTGGTGTTTGTTTCATCTGATAATGTACACAGTCTGCTTGTAAAACTAGATTAGCATACAATGTTTGAAACTTGCCTGTGATATCCTCAGTAAGCTGTAGCTTCTGTCTGCACAACAGGCATAGGCTGCATTATCAGCAAGCCAATGTCAGGAATTTTTATACCAGTATGCACCATGAGACAATGGTGCACGCGCGCACACACACACACACACACACATATGCATATGTGCACACACAAAGCTCTAATCCACATCTACACACGTTCTGAAGCAGGGGCTGATAAATAGCAGAAGGAACTCAGCATTGGGTTTCATCCTCTGCAGACTATGATAACAATCTACTGCAGCAGCAACTGTTTCAAATCACGCTATCTGAGCTTGATTATATAAATACGGCAACGCTCTACGTCTCCACTTCTTCTATATTTTTACACCTGCAAGACAATGATGCCCTCTGTGCAGTCAGTCTAACGTCTCACTCTGACCTTCGTTACTGCATGAGCTCAAGTAGCCGAACCACAGTCCTGAACAGCTGTTCTGATCTTTCATGGAAATCAACAAGTTGTGATGGTGAGGGGTGGGTGTGTGTGTGTGTGCGCGCGCACGTGCGTGTGTGTGTGTGCGTGCGTGCATGTGTGTGTGTGTGTGTGTGCGTGTGTGTGTTTGTTAAGGAATCACACAGGAATGAGGGTCCAGACGATTTGATAAAAGATAGCTCCTTTTCAGACACTGTACCACTTTCACGGAGGAGAATTTTATAGCCACAGAATAGAACGAGCACAGCAGTAAAGCATTGCTCCTCACCAGCATGTCTGATCGGTTCAGAAAGGGCTACAGACTTGTCAGCTGAAGCTGAAACATAGGAAAGCTGGAGGATGTCAGGTTTTCACAGCTGTCATCTTCATGGAACACACGCAGCAAGTCAGCTCTATTTCTGCTTGCACTGACATGGTGAATAGGGATAGGCGGCCGATACTGACCATCAGCTTAGGCCGATATACCTCTTTAGTAGAGTCGATTTAAAAACAGGCACATGTGCGGGCAGCTCAGTGCTGCTGCAGAATTATTTATCATCCTGAAAAACATCTGCTCAACAAATGGTAAATAGCCTGTATTTGATACAGTGCCTTCTAGAGTCCTAGACCCCCCAAGGCACTTTACAATTACTACCACCTTCTTTCAGACGAAACAATGAGATCTTGCGATAACACTGGATGTCCCTTGGAAGTGTCGGGCCTGAGTTTTTTTAAATTAAATTCAGTCTTAAAAAATACAAATATCATCTGGCTTTTAGCATTGCAATAAATCGTCTCCCCTGTATTGTTATGTATATCGTAACGCCAGATTCTTGCCAATACACATCCTTAGTAACAAATGCATAGTGACAATTGTTGCATTGATGTAGTTTAGTTTATGTATTTTACAGAAGTTTTACAACCATCAATATCTTTTCAACTTAATCACTTAAAAACAAAAAACAAGCACTTGTGCATTAACCTTAGTGTGAACGGGTTATCGGTTTTGGGGTATACTGCAGTTTAAAAAGTCACAGAATCAAAACTATTGCTTTACTGTCATAGTGTTCCAGCGTCTTCAGCACGCATAAACATCTCAGCACTTTTAATGAAGGCGTGCTAAGAGGTTGACACTGGGATACAGTACTGCCATATCCCAGCTAACCCACTGGGACAGAGCTGCCTTCTGCAGATGACAAAGGGTGTGTCATGTCATATGAACAAACACTTGCACTGATTGATTTATGAAAACCACCTCTTCTATTCGCCCACTTTGAAGTCTGAAAACATGAAAGTTCACCGATGACATCATAGCATTCCTGGACTCTCTGTAGTAATGTTTTGGAAGGAAGACCTGCACCCCATAGCAGAGTGCACATAATCTGGCAACAACTTAAATGCAGTCTTCTAATTGTGGTCAAAGAACAAACACCCAATCACTCTCTGTGGCCGTCCACTGGAAGTGACCTGTTTGACTCCCATCGTTGGATCAATCAGCGCGTGTCATGGTTCAAGAACTCAATGTGTCATCCTCAATAGCTACTCTTTTGCTGAGCTGCACATCAAGCTCGTGTACACGATTGATCATGATTGTCCTGTCTGCATGTTATGTGCATGAGTAATAGTAGCAATATAACACACGATAGGCCTTATTTGAGGGAGGGAGGGAGGGAGGGAGCAGCAATAAAAGAGAGGTCAACTCCTTTTTAGGCTCATGGCTGAGTTTGAGTCAGCGGCACAGGTTGCTGATTAGGGCAGAGGGCACAGACTGAAATTCTTCAGCCATTCAGACAGGACAGGCTCCAGTGGTCAGGAAAGAGACATGACTATTGTAAGCTGCTATGGGATGCAGGGTAAATATTTAGCTTGGAGAGGGAGGGGTAATAAATTTTGAGAGCTTTACCCAAATTGCTTTGTGCAGCCCTGGGTTGGGAAGGTGTGTGGTTGGTGAGGGGAAAAGGTGGGAGTCTTTATAACACTGGTTCTAGAAAGCACGCACTTATAATAGGAGAAAGGATAAGGAAGCAAACTGAACAGTTTGTCAGTCCCATGATTATGAAGTTGGCTGTTGAAGTAATTATCATGTAGCCTACTTCTCATTTGACTAATCTGGATAAGCCCTTCTTTCCAATCAGGCTGTTCCAACTCACCAACCACAGCTTAATTGTTACCATCTCTATTCTCACAAGAATTAACAGAAGCATTCAGCTTTGTTCACATCCTGTATGGGATTAATCTGAGACTAAATGAAGACAAACAAAAGAAGTAAAATAGAAATAAGCCTAAAATAATCTGTTATTCTACAGAAAACACACACACACACACACAACTGTTCCAAAAGTATGTTGTTTGGATAGAATAATTTTCAGAAAGTACTTGTTAAAGTCTGTCTGTGGTACTTTTTTGCCCCATTTTGTTGCTTTATAAAACTTTTAGTGGGAAAAAAATATTATTATAATATTATTACTTTTAATCTGTCTCGTTTTAATTTTTATAGACTTAATTTGTCTTTATAAATTGTATCTGTTTTGCTGTAGCTTTGGATTATCATTCAGCGCTAGGGCTGCACAATATTAGGAAACCTGCAATATGAGATAACAGTGATTAATATTGTGATGACGATGTTATTTGTGATTAATAAAAACTTAACTCAGGAACAAAAATAATCAAAAACAAAGAAATAAATGACAAAAAAATCATACAAATGAGAAAAGCAAAAGATGTGAAGAAAGGGAAAAAGAAAATGTACAAGAAAAGGCCACCAGTGGATCCCGGGAAAAGCAGAATCAGCAGAAAGAGCAGGGTAAAGCTAATTCTGGTCTTTGCTAACCATCAAAATTAAGGGCCGTCCGCCTCAGGCGGCAGGTATCTAACCAATGAGAACTCACCCAATTGGCCAAATGGGTGAAGAGCTCTCTTTGATTTGTTAAAAAAAACGTAATGCTTCCATTTGATTGACAGAAGGCATAATGTTTAGCAAACATCTGAGCTGACCATTCATTGCAATATATGTCTGTTCTTTGTGATATGCAAATTTTGCATGCTGATATCGCGATAACGATATATTTGCGATATATTGTGCAGCACTAATCAGCGCTTTGGTCAACTTTGGCCATTTCCAAAATCTAAATAAATTTCATTAGATTCACGGGGTTAATATGAATAAGCAACATTAACATTTGTCACATCTGGTTCACAGCAGCAGACACGCAAGCACACACACGCACGCACGCACGCGCACGCACACACACACACACACACACACACACTAACAGCAGCTGAACTGATTCATTTTAGCTACCGACAAATACAGTTTTATCACTATGTTAGGCAACTTAAAAATAATACTACTGTTGACTATATTATGTTTTTGACATTACACTAATTTATTTTGGCATTTCCTTCCAAACACAGAGAAAAGCAACTTCTAAAATAATTTTTGCAAATAAACGAAACAAAATGATAAATTATGTCTCATTTGAAATGGTGATTGCTACAGGTCTTCTGTTGTGAAAGTTGGGTCGGGACCCAACTGTGAGTCACCAAAACTATCAGAGTGTTGAGATGGTTTCCAGATATCGAAATTCATTTGAAAAACAACTGCTAAAGCTATAGTTTTAGTTTAATTATTATAAAAACACAACTTGATTGTCAGAGTGAATGTGAGCTGAAGCGTTCTGTCATTATGCCCTGAATTATTAAGCTTTTTAGCTTTTTTGTGTTGTCGAGTCAAGATAACTGGGATCACATTTCTTAGTAAGCAAAAACTATTGTAACAAGAACCAGCAGCCTGTTGTATTATAGATGTTTGAACACTAAAAGGCAAATGCCTGAAAGATGAAACCTTCAGCTGTAAACAGACGTCATTTCTATTCGCAGTGAAGATCTATTAAAAACATCTAAATGAGAGCTGGGCTTGCAGGGTGCCAAGATCAACTATTACCGTAACTCTGTGAATCTTGAAGAAAAGAATGTAGCCTTTGATGACTTAATAATCCAATTACCTAATTGTGGAAAATGTGCAGAGGCAGTTTGTGATTTTGTCCCTCAACTGATTCATGATGAGGCAGTTAACGCAGTTACATAACCAGCTATTATCAGCCATAACTTAAGATGACCTGTGGTTTATTGGTTGTTTATTTTGATCATATAAAAAAATGCTTGTTGATGTTCCTCTATTGACTTTGTTGATTCCATGACTTTTTTCATGCAGCTGTTATGTGAAACGTTTCTCTGTAGATTCATGATTTTTCCTGCTGCTGTCATCAGATCAAAACTCTAATCTTTTAGATAATTGCTTCAAGTTTGAAATAATGCGATTCCAAAAGCCTGCCTTTTAAATTCTTAAGAACTTGTCCTTTGTTCACCTTTCACCCCTATCTGGCCTGTGACCAGATGACCTTAGTTTCATGACTCTGCACCCAAAGCTGTAACAAGCCTGACATCCCCCGTTTAGCTGGTATGTGGCTGAAGACTCACGCTCAGGTTTCTGTCCCAGATCTGAATGGTGCCATCTTGGCATCCTGCTGCGATGAGCTTCCCATCTCGGCTGTAGGTGCAACACGTGGGGATGACCTTCTTCCCTTTATTGGAGCGAGGTTTGAACACAGACTTGTGCTTCTTTTCTGTGTGCACGTCCCATGTGCGCACAGTGCTGTGGACAGACGGAGAAAATTATTTATCCTAACCCAGCTGCTGTGAATCAGAAATAAAATATCTGTCCTTCAAAACCGATTTCACGGATAAATATATTAAATATTAATAAATCAGGATTGTGCAGGTACAACGTGCACTGGTCACTCTCATGAACACAAGGTTAGATAGTTTGGCATCACGTGGTGAGGTCGATTTCCAAACTTTAAAACAGTAGATCAGTGAGACAGGTTTGTCTTAAGCCTCTATAAAACCCAGATTCTCTTTCGTCCTTTCCATCTGTTGAACACATTACACAACCTGGAGCTCTGAGGAGAGCCATTAAATGCAGATTTTTCATATATATATATATATATATATATATATATATATATATATATGAACAAATGTGGGGTTTCGCTCCAAAAACTAGAAGCACAACCCCAGGGGAGCCACTTTTGTTACAAAATCATATATCAAACATGGAGTAGTTTGCACAGAAATAAATAAAACTAAGGATACTTATTTCACATCTTTGCGAAACTATTGCAGCATTCAAAGAAACTAAATAAATACATCCTTTAATACTAAATAAAATAAATTAAATTAAACAGGTGGGTCTGAGCTGTTGAAAAAGCCTTTCAGAGGAAGCACGATGTGTATGCATACTCAGAATTGGACTGAAACAAGATGGAACATTTCACCTTTGACCCTTTTGACACAACTATCTGTCAAGCAGATATGTTGCACACATCTTCTTTAAACATGATCTAAATTTAAACCTAAACAGCTACTTCACGTCTATAGATAGCGTGTTTCATTCAAGGTACTCGGTGTTAATTTTATTGTTGCTGTTTATGTCCTTTATAAGTAGTAAGTAGAAGTAAATAAGTGGACAATATGAACTAAAATGAGCTGCTCAAGAAAACTGAAGAAAAGTTATTTGGTCTCATTAAAAAAATGTATAAATGAGACACAAAACTTCAATCACCACATGTGATTCAAGTCATGGTGATTTTATCTATTTTTTAAAAACCACACACACACACACACACACACATGCGCGCGCACACACACACACACACACACACACACACACACACACACACACACCAGACAGAGTGCATCTAAATGTGTCTGTGACCCACAGCTTGCCTTAGTGAGCAATCTTCACCTTTGGGTCATGGGGTCAGCGGAGGAGTATAAACACACAGGCAGAGCGGCTACTAACAGCCAGGCGACCCGTTACAAAGCCTCACACCCACACACACACACACACACACTCAGCTGTGTTTAGTCAAACCTAACAATGTGATACAACTGTCAGCTGGGGATATATGGTTCGAGACAGAACTGTTAAGGGTCAAATACAATCATCAGCCACAAAAATAAAAGCACTTCCTCTGAACAACCTGAACATCTTACAGTGAGCATCGGTTTGTACGAGTGATATCCATGAGCTAGGTGACAAACAGTTCCACCTGCTTCCTCACACAGACCTCTCTATGCTGTTTACAGAAGACTGTAGGCGTCTGCCAGGCCAATAAAGACAACATAACCTTTCACTCTGCACACAAAACCTGGAATGCTATTTATCTTAAAGGCTCTTTCCAAAACATGGCACTGCTGACTGTCAGGGGGATGAAGTCGAGATGGACCCAACCTTCAGGTCTGGGTGCACACCATCACCAGTCCCTAAATTAAGTGGGGGAAATGAAAACGGTCTGCTGGAACGTCCAAAAACATTCTGTTCCTCATTTGAATGGTTCAATAGGAAGCTGTAATAAGTGCTAATCGGATTAACTGCAAACTTAAACTTTACAAGCCGGCCAGAGGAGTTGGATGTTATTGGAAAGTAACAACAACGGGATACAGTGGCCCCAAAATAGTCACATTACTTTAGCATTTTTTTTCCATTCCTTTGTTTTCCCTTCAATCAGCAGTCCCTTTCTCCTGCACAAACGCTTCAGAGCCTGGGGGGTGAATGTAGCAAAATGAGACCCATACAGCCTCAGTCATGCATGCACACTTTACAAGGTAAGGCGGTCGTTCACACATCAACTGAGCAGTGACAGGTCCCAAGGCCCCAGATTTTATCTGCCCATCAGGCTATAGGCCCAGTGGGGGGTAATGGCTGCTGGGATTCCATTCCAAGATGCTCAGATAAGGAAAAAAAGAGAAGAGGCAAACGTCTAGTATGGGGGTGTTTATTGGGTGGAATCCAGTGGTGGATGGTTGACTGACTGGAGCTGGAGCCGTTATGAGAAAGAAGGATTAGGCAAGGAAGATGCTCCATCTTCCTTCACAGCTGAAGAAGATAATGTAGGGAAAGGACAGGAGGATTTAGGAGGAGGCTCACACACCGAGTTGCACCCAAGCAGAGAAGCCAAAAGATAGAATAATTATGTGACGTGCACACAGATGGAATTTGGACACTGCAAGAGGCAATGTTAGTTAGTGTAAAACAAATGCTAAACACTTGTGGTAAAAACATGTCAGTTTCAATCAATGGGTTGTGTGATAAGACTGCTTCAAAGAAAACAAGGATGCTGTTACGTCCATTCAACAGAAAAAGAAATACTGTATTCAAAAGTTCACAAAACCAGCATAAAGGTTTTTGTCAGTTAAACATGCAGCCATGGCTATAGATCAGACAGGAAGGACCAAAGCACTGCTCAACAGTAAACTGCTGTGTGCATTCTTGGGCAGGATATGGAAGACTTGCATTGAAAGGAGGGAAACCGTTGGATATGCGCTGGACTGTGGATGAACCTGATGTGTCCGATGGGGTGAGTCGCCTTAACATGCACACACTCATTTTTATTTTGTCCTCACATTTTAACTCTGTTTATTTAGGTCTAACTTAATCTAATGATCTTTTTTAATCAGACAGGGTATCTGCAGGTTTAAGGGAGCCAAATTTAAGACTTTTAAGACCTTTTTAAGACCACTTTGACCAAATTGAAGCTGTTTTTTTAATTAAATTTAAGCTATGATTTCCAGCTATTGCCTGGAACGTTGCGAACGTGGGATTAGCCATCCAGTTACCATTAAACTTGCACTTTCCCATGGCGCAAGCTCCCACTAGCTTAACCAGCTAATGTGCTCATCTAAAAATATCCCCCTTTCACTGAATGTATACGGTTCCGCTTATGCCAATATCATACACAAAAAATGCTGAACACTAACTAGAAATTCATGAAAATTTCATAGAAATAAAATAATCTTGGTAATTGGGTCTTTGGTAATTTAAGACCTTTGGAAACCGTATTTAAGGATTATTTGTCATTTTTAAGGATTTTTAAGGCCTTAAATTTGGAAAAGCTAATTTAAGACTTTTTAAGGACCCGCGGATACCCTGATCAGAAAACCTTTTGTGAAAGTGCTTTTAATAAAATGTTTACAGGAAAATTATGACAAAACATACTGTTCATGGCCTTGCCCGCATTTATTTGTGACCATGGATGACTGTGTTGATTTTAGGGCCCGACCGATATATCGGCCAGTTGATATTATCGGCCGATATTAGGGTCATTAACACTATCGGCTATCGGCCAAAAAGACGGCCGATATGGCCAATATTGCGCTACCCATCCAGCAGATGGCGCCAGCTTTATGAACTCATGTTGTGTGGCTCCACTCCTCGGGGGGTGGAGCCACACAACAGCACACATGCAGCGGAGCAGCAGGAGCAATACAGTCAAGCAGAGACGACGGTGATGAGGAAGTAGGAGGTAAGTATCCAGTTTTAAGCATATTTGTTGTGTCAGTGGTAAGTTGAACGGTAAAATAAGCAATGGCAAAGGTATGTTTCCCCTCAACATGCTACCTAAGTTTATTGTGTGCCTTGTGGCCTTGTATTGAAAAGTTACCCTGAAAAAGAAAAATACTGCCGCAGCGTTACGCTCTACGCAGAGCTCACGCTGCTTCCCCTTTAGTCATGCAAGGCAGTAAGTAAGTAACGATGTCCTTTTTCTGGTAGGCATTCTGGAATATTCTCAGACAATTTCATCCGCTCTTCCTCAGCAGTCTTTTCAAACTCACACGACCGCTGTCGCTAGCTGGGACAGGAGGAGGGGCGGTAATATGACGAGAAAATAAACAATCCTCTCTACAATAGAATAAATCTATTGTATTTATTCAGCCTTATATTTTATATAAGGCTTATATAAGTTCACCAAGTTAACTTACACAGAGTGTAACTTTGTTACAAACCACAAGTATTACGTTTTATTTATTGCTGCATTTTTATTATTTTAACATTCTTATAGGGATCTTCTGTCCCTAAACTTGTGTGTGTTGTTAGATTCCCCAGAGTTAGCTAAGTCAGAAAAAACATTTTGTAACCAGTTGTTTTAGCATAAAGCAATGGAAGGGAATGCTTGCATTCACCTACATGAAAAACACTACAACGTATGTGAATTCACTTACATTGTTTTATGCTAAACTAAGAAAACCAACTGCTGCCAGATCATATTGGGCTGGTTATAAAATGCTTTTTCTGACTTGTCTAACTCTGGGGAATCTTAACAAGACACAATTTTACTGAGCGGTGGAATATTCCTTTATGTTAAAATGTATTTGTGGAAACCACAGTTTACAAGAAAAACTTGAATGTTAGATTTATGCTGTGACTGAGTTTGGGTGTTCTGTTGTTTTTGAGATCTGCTAAATAAATCTTATTTGCATTACTTGGAAACCCTAGTGAGTTATAGAGACAGTTCTTTGGTATGTAATAGAGAAATAAGTTTTCATCAAAAAGGCAGAGAATGAAGGGTTTAAGCTTAAGAACATTTTTATTTCTTTTTTTGTGAGGGAGATTTATCAGCCATTATATCGGCTATCGGCCTTTGTTAAAAGTTTTATATCGGTATGGGTCCCAAAAAAAGCATATCGGTCGGGCCCTAGTGACCAGGAGAGAGCATAGTGAATCTTGGCTAGTAGAAGCTAATCGTTAGCATTAGAAAACCCAATAACATGGCGGAACACGTCCAGGCTTGTGTTACTTGTGGAGATAAAACA